GGTGGATTCACCGTCCCCGGAGGTTTGCAGGATGAGAATGGATGTGGCACTTAGTGCCTTGGTCTAGTAACCACAGTAGGGTTGGACTTAATGATCTTGGAGGTCTTTTCCAACCTGGTTGATTTTATGATTGAGGTAAATGCTGAAATTCATTAGTGTTAATCCTGGCAAGAGATCAGCCTGGGATTTTAGAGGAGTGACTCCTCTCTTTTTGAAGGCATCAGAACACACACTGACTGCAAACACTGAACTCCTCGGGGACAATCTGATTCTGGCATGGTTTCTAGTACAGCTGCAGTGTCACCATCTCATGCTCAGCTTCAGAAGTGGTCAATATTATCTGCCATTCAACAAAACCTGGCAAAACAGTGACTCATAAATTGCAGTTAATGCACAAAGGGGTAAATGAAGAGCCAGGAAATTGACGAGACTGAGCACTCCTAAGGAAAAACATACTGAGAGGACTGTATGTCACAGCAGAACAGTATCAAGAAACAGCTCATCTTTTGATCTGCATTTATCCCATTTTAGCATCTTTGTTCCCTAACCACAATCACTGAACATAAGCCTCAGGAGTATGGAAGGATAAACATATTCCCATTACCTGCACTAGCCACAGACCTGTGCCACCTATGAATATCTAACTACCTGGTACAGTATAATACATCTAAGGTGTTTGATGCTTCCACAGTAAAGGAAAAGTCAGGCTGATCTTCCCAGGGGTGGAGCAATCTGCTCAACCACTCACTCTGTGTTCAGTTCAGCCTGACACCTGGATCACCTGTGTCTGCTGGCAGAGTGCAGCAATGCAAGCCAGAGCAGGTAACTAAGATGATAGCCACAGAGAATGTCTCTCCTTCCCCACTCCTCCAGATGACAAACTGACTCTGCTCCTGCTTTTGTTCTGCTTCTTCTCACCTTTTTGACATGAATACAAACTGGGCAGGAAAGCCCATGGGCTTGGCTCTACAGGACCACTGTCTCTGAGACTGACCCTATGAAAAAGCATGGAAGGTATCACTCTTTCATGGTGTGGCTGCAAATGAGTGCAGAGGATAAGCAATAACCTGTCCATACTTGGCAGAGTCTCAGTCTCTCCCTGCATGGGTGTGTAAGCTGTAAGGAAGAGCAGGTAAGCACAGGGTGATGGAGATGTTCCAGTGTGAGAGAAGATCAAGTTCCCCCAGTCCAACATCTGCCAGAGGAACCATACTGAAGCCCACTGATTGCTTCAGCGCTGCTGCTTTGAAAGGAGTGATACAGAGTTCACATCAGACCACACTCCAGTGAATTCCACTTCTCTGCTGCTGGGTGAGGCTATCTGACAGCCACTCCTGACTCTGCCAATGCAAACCAACTCTGCTGCTGGAAGCAACCAGGGCTGCTTCGGGTTCATCAATTCATTCCTGGCATCATATCTCAGAGCCATACAAAGGTGTCAGTTTAACATGGCTTTGTCCCCTCAAAGTGATACTGACCACGCTGAAATCAGCAATTGGAGCAGGGAAAATGAATCTGCAGGTAATTAGTAACAATCATGGGCCGTCTGGAAACTGCTGACAAAAGCAGCAATGAGCTGGGCACATATCATTAGCTTGTAAATGTAGAGAGCATTCATGGGCTGTGGCAGCACACAGTAAAGAAGGGGGTTTAAAACTTAATATTTAATGTGGCAAAAAAATGATGAAGAAAAAGCGAGTGGTTCTCTAATCAGAGATTTGGCTGGTGGTCCATGATACAACGGAGATGGTGCACAAAGCAGTAGTGAGACCTGTCACTAAATTTTTTCCTTAGCAGCAAGTACTGGCATGAGTGCCAATGTTCAAGCAATCCTTTCATTTTCAAGAAATATCCCCAATGTTTGGACCTGCCAGCTTGCTGAGATAGAATTTTTTTACATTTTCTGTCAACAAGTGCGCAGAGGTTCTTTGCCATCTCAAACCTCGATGTTGCTTTGATGCCCACACCACAGCCCAGCAATAAGAACAGTGAAAAAATGTACTCCTAGGTCACTCTAGATCTCTGTTCTCAGACCTGTCTTACAGATTTAAGACTGACAAGATGAACTAGACTTCGTTCTTTTCACATATGTCAGCCCAGGCTGCACCAGATTTTCTCATAAAAACTGATTAAACTTGAACAGCAGGTACAGCTATCAAAGGACATAAATGTTCTTGGCTCAAACTCCTATATGTCATATTTCAAGTTACCCACTTTTCAGCCTTACCAACAGCCCCACTCTATGCTGAAGCATCATGCGATTACTTGTTCACAGTTCTGCTTCACACACATCAGTAGAGTTCCTGGTACAAGCAATGTTTCCCATCAGTGCTGCTCTGGATACCACAACTGACTTGACAGTCAAGCAGCTCTTGGTCTCATGACAGTGAAGCTGTCATAAACTGTTTATAATCTGGAAGGTCAGGTCAGCCTTGAGCCATTAGCACCACCAGGCACAGGCTTCGGACACTTTTATCCATCCAGCCCTCACTTTTACAGCTGAAAACACACTACCTAGCATGACTGAAACACGTTTGACCACCAAGGATTTCAGTCTTCTGCTCTGAGTTTGCTCAGACACATCACAGGACAGCCAGGAAGAGTGGAAACACTCAAAAAAGAGTGAAAAAAATTAAAAGTAACTCAACTTGCTGAATGTCAAGAGAAAACCAGAGGCCAGGCTGGCTATTCCTCCTCCAATGAGGAGCAGTTTACAGGAGAAATGCCATCATGGACCTATGAAGCTTGGGATCCTGAGTGCTGAGCTGAAGGGGGCTGAGGACCAGGAGCTGGCTCTGGCAGGACTTCTCTCATGAGTTGGGACCTGACCACTGAAGCAGGACTGATACAAAGCTGACCTTCCTTCAGGTGTTGCTGTGTTATCTATCACCTACCCCCACCCAGCCAACCCAGCCCTAGAACACTAAACCAACCCCACAGCTTTGGTCAGACTGCAGACAACCCAAAATCTCCCAGAAGCCAGAGTATGCAGTGTGTTTGCAGGCGTTTGTTGGACATCTTATCCACAACCAGTGTTGTGCACCATTTCCCAGCTCCTGGTTTTCAGAGATACCTCCCAGCCCTGTAGCAGTAGACAATTTATGGTTACAAGGGAAATAGGGTCAACAAATGTGTCACCTCTTCCAAATCCCCTGCCCAACCAAGGAAATAGGAAATAGGCTGGGAAAAGAGCTATGACTGAAGAAGTGAGTTAATTCTGGGGAGAAAATGGAGAAGTCTGTCCCAAGCTACAGAGAGAAAAGCACCACCAAGCACACTGCGAGGTACATGACTTGCACATTACAAAACGTGGTTTGGTGCTGAAACCTTCCTGCTCCTGGCAGTCTGTACATCCCCTCAGCAGCTCAGAAAAGCCTTGGGGCAAGAAGCATGACTCGGGTGTGCAGTACGTAGTCAGTGCTATAGCGCCTGGGTCACTGTGGGGACTCTGCACACTCCCAGAGCATGACCAGCACAA